CTGTATAAAATCAAGGCAAGGTATTATCCAAATCAGTTTTCCTTGGTCTGATTAGTTTGGCCAATGTGTCAAGAAATTAGGATTGTTTGTGATGTCCATGGGACATATAAAGACAGGAGCAAAAATGACTATATTATTTCACCAAGGAAGTTTTCTACCTTATCTAGCCATTTATATAATTTCATAGTCGAGAAGAACCTTTTTTGAGAATGGACAGGACTGATATAGACATTAGGACTAATTTTGTGAAGAAATATCAGCAAAATGATCTTTGTTCTTAAATGACGCAAAATGGCATGGGCAATTTCCACCCTTATTGGTCCCATGTAACTTATGAAAGATTAAAAGGTAAAAATGATTTTATTAACAAAGGGCTTTGAAGACTAACATTGTTTTGGGGGTAACTTGTTAACTGCTTTTTTATGCAGTAAATAGAAGGTAGGTTGATTTGATTGATAAATAGATTTCCCCTTTGGCGACATCTTTCTGTTCAACATAGTATTGTTATTAAATATAAGACAGAAAAGTTTGTAATTACTTGCAGACCTGTTATGTACGGGGGTGGGGGAGGTGAGAGAATGTGCCAGATATTTCAGATAATTTTTTAAATTTTAATTATATATTTGCCATTTGTCATTTTTTATTGCTATTGTTCGGCCACGCTGTTTACAATTGATGCTTGTTTCCTCCTTCTCCTCCTCCTCTTAAGATGGGTGGCCGAACACCTCTCTTAATAAATAAAATAAAATATAAAATAAAAGAACAAAATAATAAAAGATCAAAATAATAAAAATAATAAATACAATAATAAAATAAAATAAAAAATAATCAAATCAAATCAGTAAATAAATAATGGATTTGGATATGCATCATGTACAAAATCTTGCCCCTTGGGGGGGAAAGAAATGCCCAAACATGCAATGAACATCTCTTGTGGGATGTGTTTTGCATACAGTAAGTCTGTAGTTTTCCTGAAGGCGCATCCCTGCCCAGTTATACACCTGCGCTAAACCTTTGCCTGCAGGAATTCAGAGTATTGGACTAGCTTTTATTTTCAATCATACAGTATTTGACTAGCCTTTTATTTTTAACCAGAAAGACACAAAATGGGCTATGTCGCTATGCTTGTTGGTTTGTGGCTCTGTGTGCATGTTGGTGTATGATCTCCAGGTTAAACTTTGCAAAAACAGGTGTCTTTTAACCTTCAGGCAGGCAAGCTGTAGCTTACAAAGCTTCTACGCCTGCATTTGAGGTGCTGATTTTAAAATAAAACCTTATGTGGGTTTTCTCTATTGCTGAAGTTTGCTGTTTGATAGAGAGGCGAGCCCTAGATTACCAGAGATCCATGGAATCAAGTGTAGGGTGACATTAATCATTCATGTTAGGACTGTTAAGCACCCTTCTCAGTGACATCAGGTAACCACCATATTTGGTAGGGAAGAATCCATGACCTGTAGACATCTTCCCTGGTGGCATTAGGTAACATCTAATATTCAACAGAATTCCCAAGATTCTTTGAAACTCTAGATGTTTTATAATTTTTTAAAAAATCTTGTGGCAGTAACTATTCTTGAAGAATATTATAGTACAATAATATACTATACGTATATTATTTACCTCCCGTTCCCCGCCCCCCCCACTTCAAGTTGGGATGTCTCCTATTATCTGATATCTCATGACCACACCGAGTGCAATGATTATTAAATGGGGCTAGAATTATTAAAATGCCAAAGTACGATTGAGGGATAGCTTAAACCGAAAGTCTAATACATATATTAAACTATAAAGCCATATTTTCTTGCTCCGTGGCTAACTGCTGCAATTTAGAGCTGAAAGTAGCTATTGCAGAGGGAACCAATTTGGCTGATAAGTTATTAGTTCATACTTTATCTCCCTGCATTCCTCTTTTATTGACTCTCGCTTCTAATAAAATAGGCCATTAACTGGGACAATGAATGGAGACCATTACAGAAATCATGAACGGTTTGACTGGTTCTCTTTCTCTCAGGGTTGCGTAGTGCTTCATTAGAGTTGGAATCTTATGGGTATTTAAAACATTGTTAGGATGGATATACGTGTGTGTGTGTGTGTGTGTGTGTGTGTGTGATAAATCATATACATATATGGACTTGAAAATCTTGCGAATTCTTAGAACGAACTTGGCTGAAGTTGATTACTTGATTTTATTATGCATTAAATCAGAGGCTTCTAAAATCCCTAAATACTTGTAACCTGCTTCTGGTTTCATTGCCGTTATCATTTCTTCATTGTCAAGTTTTATTCCATCATCTTCTATGACCTTGCCTGCTTTGATTGCCATTGTTGCACATTTGTCAGTTCCAAAATGTATGCTGATGTCCTGGCTAAATTCTTTTGTGCTTTCAATTAGTTTCTTGAGTAATGTTTTCCTTGAGTAATGTTGCCTGTTTCACCCCCAAATTAAGAAACTATGCTGGAAAACTGGGTTAGGGTCCCTGATAGGACTGGATTTCTGGGTTTGGAGGTTTTGGGGGGTTACTTTTTGTGGGGGTCTTCCAATGTGTTGTTGTTTCTTCTTCTTCTTCTTCTTCTTCTTCTTCTTCTTCTTCTTCTTCTTCTTCTTCTTCTTCTTCTTCTTCTTCTTCTTCTTCTTCTTCTTCTTCTTCTTCTTCTTCTTCTTCTTCTGTGGTTGGATTTTTCTATTTAATAAAAACCTCTCTGAAACCAGTGGCAACAGACAGCAAAACGGAGATGTCAAAACATCAGGAGGCTGTGAATTCAATCCTAGGTAGAGGCTAATATTTGGAATAGAATCTCCTGCTAAGCAGGGGGTTGAACTAGATGATCTCCAAGGTCCCTTCCAACTCTGTTACTCTATGATAATCTCCTTGTGTTGGGGATTAAGCTTGAAAAAAACCCAGGATGAACTGAAAAAAAAAAAAACCAAGGGAGATTCTGCGCCTTGGCATCCAGCCGTCACTTTGGTGCCAGGGCAAATTTATCCCAGGATAAATGTGGGCTTCCCTCTAAATGAAAGTCCCCATGCTTTCATCCACTTCTCCCTCTCTCTCTCCCTCCCTCCCTCTCTCTCTTTCTCTCTCTCTCTCTCTCTCTCTCTCTCTCTCTTTCTCTCTCTTTCTCTCTCTTTCTCTCTCTCTCTTTCTTTCTCTTTCTCTCTCTTTCTCTCTCTTCTCTCTCTCTCTCTCTTTCTCTCTCTCTCTTTCTCTCGTCGCGCCTTTCTCTTTCATCCCCAATCGGCGCCAGGGAGTGGATTAAGGGATTCTTCTCCCGCACGCCCCCCCCCCCGCCCCACTTTCTTCCAATTCGATGCCAATTCTGAAACCAGGCGATCCACTCATCCGAACCGTTTCCTGGCGGGCCATCCGCTGGAAAAGGGGAAGGAAAAAAAACAAACAAACACCGCCAGCCCCGACCGCAGCCTGCCTGCCTGCTCGCCTTCTCCCTCCTTCTCCTCCGCGGCCCCGCGAAGCACCTGTTTCTGCAACTCAGCGCTGCCAATTGCTGGCTCGCTGGCGCTCTCGCTCTCTTTGGCCCGCAACAACAACAACAACAACAACAACAAAACCACTGTGGGCTTTGCGGAGAGACTTCGAGATGGGTCAGAACGAGGAAGAGAAGGGGGAAGAAGAGGAGGAGGAGAAGAGGAGGAGGAAGGGGAGGAAGACGAGGACGAAGAAGAGGAGGAGGAGGACAACTGAAGAGTCCCTGGTGTTCTCTGACCGTGGTGATTTTCTCGCAGACATTTCATTACCTAACTAGGCAACATCTTCAGTGCTAGAAGGGAGCGGGGTTTGCAGAAAAAGAGGAGGAGAAGGAAAGGAAGAGGCAGGAGGAGGAAGAGGAGGAAGAAGAGGAGGAGGAGGAAAGAAAAGAGGGCTCAGCCGAGCGCTAAACCGCCCCAGCGCTCGCCCCGCGTCTGTTTGTCACCGTCTCCCCGACCTCGCCGCTCCGACCCCCGGAGGCAGAGGGCAGGAGGGAAGAAACTGGCAATGAGCGGCCAAGGGAGGCTGCGGTCGCGAGTGGCAGTGGGCACAAGCCTCGGGACCCCCCCGCTCCCAACGCACACGCCGGATCTCGGCCCCTAAGGTTAGGCATGCCAGGAGTCCCCCGAGAGCCGCCGAGCGCGCAGCAGAGACGCTGGCAAAAACACAGGTGGAGCCGGACTGGAAGACGATTCGCGGCGGCGGCGGCGGGGGGAGCGGACGGACGACACACGCACACATATAAACACACACACACAAACACACGGCAGGAGTGAGTGACAGCCCGTGCGTCACGCCGTCGGCCAACCGGCAGACACGCGCGGGGTTCTGAGCCCTCCCCCTCGCCTGCTGTGCGGCCCCCGCCTTGCCCCCCCCACTCTCTCTCTCTTCCCCCCTCCTCACAGAGCCTCTCCAGGCGCGCAAGCCGCTTTTCCCACGTCGCCCTTTCGTCTCCTCCTCCTCCTCCTCCTCCTCCGCCCCGCAGACTTTGAGGACGCACCTGCCGGAGCCCGGCCGGCCTTTCCCTGCTGCTTCTTCTTTTTCTTCTTCTTCCTCCTCCTTCTCCTCCTTCCCTCCCTCCGCTCGGGGCCACCTGCGAAAGACGGCGCGCGCGCGCGCGCGCGCGCGCCTGCTTGAAGCGAGACCGACCCTCCCGTCTGCTCAGCCGCCGCCTCCCGGAGGGAAAAAGGCGAAGCGAGCCGAGGCGCAGCAGCCACCCGGAGTGGGGTGGGTGGGTAGCTGGGGTGAGCGCCTCGGGGCGGGAGAAGCCCCCTCCACCCCACCCTCGAAGGCGGCTGAGGCGGACCGGCCACCCTCGCCCCCTGACGGACTGACGGACGGACTGACGGACTGACGAGGAGGCGGGGGGGCGGGGGGGCAGAAGAGAGAGATGCGGGCCGGCTGAGGCGGCGGGCGCGCTTTTTCCTCCCCCCCTTTTGGCCCCTCCCCGCTTTATTCGGGTGGGAGGGGCCGCGCGCGGGAGGGGAGGGAGGGGAGGGGGGGGCAAAGGCAGGACGCTCCGGCGGCAGCGGCGGCTGCGCTGGGCTGAGCGGCATCATGGCCGGGGATGGGCTTCGTAGTCGGGGCCGGCGACGGTCCCGGCCCCGGCGAGAGCAGCTTCCCGGAGCGCCGGCGGCGCGCCCTGCTCGGTGCTGCTAGCCATGGCAAATGGCAGCGGCGGCGGCGGCGGCGGCGGAGGCGGCGGCGGCGGTTCCAGCAGCAGCTACTACTCGGGCGGCGGAGGCGGCGGCGGCGGCAGCGGCAACATTAGGATGAGCAGCCCCGTCAGCGGCAGTCTGAACACGGCCTCGTCGTCGGCGCCCGCCCGGGCGCCCAACACTCTCATCATCCCCATCACCATGGAAGTGCCCTGCGACAGCGGGCAGCGCATGTGGTGGGCCTTCCTGGCTTCGTCCATGGTCACTTTCTTCGGGGGTCTCTTTATCATCCTGCTCTGGAGGACCCTCAAGTACCTGTGGACCGTCTGCTGCCACTGCGGGGGGAAGGAGAAGGTAAGCCCCCCCCCCCCCGTCCCGACCCCCCCCCCCCCCCCCCCCCCCCGCCGCCCCCCCGAAACGGCGCCTCGAAACCCAAAGCGGACGAATTAGAGGGATATTTTGTAGCTTTGTAGGGTTTGGACAGGAGGGGTCCTTGATGCTCTCTGAGATTGCTGGTTTTCTGGCAGACGTCTTGTGACCCAGCTAGGTAACCGCATCAGTGTTAGAAGGGAGTGAGGTTTGCAGAGGAGGAGGAGGAGGAGGAGGAGGAGAAGGAGAAGGAGAAGGATTGTGCGAGGACCTTGGTGCTGTCTGACCATAGTGATTCTCTGGCAGACGTCTCACGACCCAGCTAGGTAACCGCATCAGTGCCAGTGATGCCACTGACTAGTGCTGATGAATGTTACCTAGTTTGGGTAAGGAAACCTCTTGCAAGGAAACAAGCAAGCTCTGACAGCGGGCCAAGGACCCCTCTGTGGACAAACAGTTTGGAGAATAATTGTCCCAAAAGGTGCTTTTTCAAGAGGCAACTGGATTTTCTTGGTTTTTCTTTGAAGACGTTTCACTTCTCACCCAAGAAGCTTCTTCAGCTCTGACTGGATGGTGGGGAAATGGAAGGATTCTTCTTCAGTCAGAGCTGAGGAAGCTTCTTGGATGAGAAGCAAAATGTCTTCAAAAGAAAACCAAGGCAGTCCAGTTGCTTCTTGAAAAAAAAAAAAGCACCTTTGGGAGAAACACAACCTGGAGGACTGAGAATCTCCACAGATGTATTGGAGAATAACCAGTCAGAGTTACTAATGGGCTTCTATCCATTAGCGAAACCAACTAATATGGGTAGTCCTTGATTTACAACAGTTCATTGAGTGACCAAAGTTACAGTGACACTGAATAAGGTGTCTTATCACCATTTTTCACACTTATGACCTTTGTACCATCCTATGGTCATGTGGTCACAATTTGGACGCTTGGCAACTGATTCATATTTATGATGGTTGCAGTATATCCTGTGTGTGTGTGTGTCATTTTATCACTTTTTGTGACCTTCTGACCTGCACAGTCAATGGGGCAGGCCAGAGTCACCTAACAACCTTTTTTAACTCATTGAACAACTGCAGTGATTCACACAGTAGCAACTGCAACAAGGAAGATCACAAAACGGGGCATAAAACTCCCTTAACAAATGTCTCCCCTAACAATGGAAATTTTGGGCTCCATTGTGTTTGTAAGTCAAGGACTCACCTGTACGCTTACATTTTTCCAGCCCATTTTACATGTTCTAGAAAAATGGAAGAGCTTCTAAACATCTCAGAAGTAGATCATTTTTAGCACCCAGAGTCTTAATTAGTAAAAACACGTAATGTTGATACTTCAAAAGGGAAACAAATGTTACTGGTAATTGTTTGTTTTTTTAAAAATCACAATTGCTGTGTAAACCTTTAATTGCAACATGCTATCCAAGAAAGCAGGCAGAAGTTTTTGTACGTTAAGATGCCTTGGTTCCTCGCTCCGCTTTCAGTGCCTTTATATTTCCTTCTGTTTTAGCCCAGGGCACCTTCCTCGAAGATTCTCTCCCCTCTTTTTCTTTAGGCTGAGTATTGCTCGCTCTGTACAGTTGGGCTGAGTGCTTAGTAAAATCTGGGCTCGCTGAGTGGAGAAAAATGGGGCAGCCTTTGGAAGTGGGGTCACCAAACAGCGAGGATGAGCTTGCTTCCTTTTTGTCAGGCAGGTGAGAAACTTGGGAGATGTGAAATATGTCCCGGATTGTCCCTTAGGATGGCGCTGAATGCTGTTCAGCTTGCAAGGAAACATGAATAGAGGGGGGCAGCTGTGTAGCTGATCCTGAACATTGCTAATGTTTGCTGAGAAATAAGCTGGACTGTGTCAGAGACTTGGGTTATCTCCATGTATATTTGGGAGTTGATTGTTTGGAAGGGTTCAATGGCCCATGTCATCCAAAGAATAGAATAGAATGGAATATGGAATATGGAATATGGAATATGGAATATGGAATATGGAATATGGAATATGGAATATGGAATAAGAACAGAACAGAACAGAACAGAAGAGAATAGAAAAGAATGCAGAATAGAATAGAATAGAATAGAATAGAATAGAATAGAATAGAATAG